CGTCCCCCCACTCCTCTAGGTCACATGTTCCAGATTCGGTCGCACACTTTCAAGTTTTGATACCTCTATTCACGGACTCTCCAATACACTTTCGCTACCGTGCATCTACTGTCGACATGTTTTCGTAGCTGTTTGTTATTCCAGTGCTCCCAGTGTATAATATGATCACATCCAATGCTACCTTAGTTGAACAAGCTCAATGCTGTACTAGAATGTGCTCAAATAGTCTTATATACGATTTTATTGTGCATCACACGTGTTTCACTCGCATCTCAAAATATGCACAGGTAGCATTGGATGTGATCATATTATACACTGGGAGCACTGGAATAACAAACAGCTACGACAACATGTCGACAGTAGATGCACGGTAGCGAAAGTGTATTGGAGAGTCCGTGAATAGAGGTATCAAAACTTGAAAGTGTGCGACCGAATCTGGAACATGTGACCTAGAGGAGTGGGGGGACGTTGTGAATAAGTAGTATGTATATAATGATGACACAATGGCTTACCTTGCGGGTCTACAGCAAGATTCCCTAGTAGAGTTGGCGGTTGCAAACTGCTTGGCCCCCGAGGTCCAGAACATCCAAGAATTATTGGCAACCTGTCGCAAGCGAACAGTTAAAACAACGTCAACAAACAAAATTCTGTAACAGACATGAATATATGCGTGTGAAAATGATATTATGACATACCGCAGCCACACTGTCTCAATACAATAGGATCCCTGTGATACAGACTAAATATGATAATCATCCCACTGTTCTAAACTCGTGTGGTCAGTGCATTCATACCGTCAGATAAGTGACATATGAGACACTCACAGGGCAGAACCAATGGAGGAGAATGGCGAGACCTTTGACTCGGAGGTGGGAATATGGTGGGGAGAAAGAAGGGTGGGACAACAGAAATTTGGCCCCAACAATTTATGTTGCTTTGGGGTGCCGCACGAGCTTACGACGTAGCTTGCACAAGTTGCAATGACATAATGGACGGACTTCGTGAAACAAAGGTTGCGCTCAGTGATGCAAAGTTTGTGTTTGCGATGTGCAGTTTGCGCTTTGCGATATGGAGTTTGTGCTATTACATAGCTTGATGCGAAGATGTTATGCAATGCGAACTTTGCAAAGGTAACAAATGACGAAAAGATCAGAAAGGAGCACACCCTGACACAGTACTAATACAGTAATTCATGTCTCAACACATACAGTCCTCTCCCGTCATAACCAGTTCTTACTGGGCTTGAGCTCAGTGAGTGTGGACGTGGACGCGATAGATTCCACTTTGGCAGAAGCAGTGTTGGCACCAAATGTGAACACATTTTGTAACACGAATATCACTGATTTCTGGCCATGCTGTGGCGATGAATCAGTATCTGATTGATCTGAGACGTCCCCTGCGCAGTGCGATGACGATCACATGGAATTGGAAACAAAAATAGTTCAATTGCGGTTGGCTCCCATGCAGGACAGTCCTTAAGAGGAAGTGAGTTCCTCACGTCAGCTGTATAACTATCAGCGTCCAAGCTTGCATCCCCATATCATCACATATCCGCCACCCTCAACCCAATGTTGGTCCCCAGCGCAGCCAACAGCACAAAGCAAAGAATAGTCGGTCCGTACTTGTCATAATAAAGCCCTTCCGCCGATCGGGCACGCAGACGAAGCGCTCGGTACACGAAGATGATCGCCGAATAGGCGATCGCGAGCAGCGCAGCCAGAGTGAACAGCGCAGCACTAATCAGGCCCCGTGGATCATCTGCAGGTACGAAGTTCAATAACGTCGTAGCGATAGTGCCGATCAGCACCGCAAAGCTCAACCATTTCTGCAACGATAAACATCAGCAGACGAACTCGTTCATCTAATGCAAAACAGTCGTACCAAGAACGTGCGCTCGTTTGCGAAATACACCTTGGGCTCGATACGAACAGGCACTGCAATTCGCTTGCCAGATGGCGCACACCAGTCTCTCACTAATAAACGGTCCTCCTCTCGCAGATTTTCCTCGTCCAGGCCTGCAGCCTCCTGCACCTCACCATCCTGTACACGCGGCGGCACATTCTTATTCGCCTGTAGACGCTCGCGCAGACGCTCATCGAACGCAGAAGACGGCGCAAGTGGGTCAATCGACACATTCCTCTCCGCCCTCGGAGGCTGTGGCAGCTTCAACAATGGCGTGCGTTCATCGTATACCACTTCAGGAGTGCTGCTGCTTCCCCTGGACTGAGATGCAGGTTCGCGTTCCTTGAGCGACTTTTCACGAAATGCGATAGCAGCCGCAACGTCCTCATGCGGCAGCCCTGTGCGCCGAAACTCGTCTCTAGCAGGCGCCAAGTCCATCTCTTCATCTTCTTCCCCTTCAGAGACAGGCTCAACATAGGAGTGTACCGGCAAAACGGGCGAGATGGGCGAGAGAATACCGGACTGAAAATCAGGAGTACTCTTTGTCGGACGCTCGACTGTGAGGTATCCAGTATTGGGCTTAAGGATATCCGTGTCCACTGTGAATGGTGTGAGGCGAGAAAACAAGATGGAAGCAGGCCCTTCAGCTTACTTTGAGGCAGCCAGAACGGCACGAGATCTACGCGATTAGGCAGTAGGGTAGCGCAGCCATGGATGAATTTGCTAGCGGCAGTCCGTGAGTGACATAGAACTACTTTTTTTGTGGGTGAGAATCATACCTGAACTTGGGAACAGCTTCGACAAGATATGACTGGACCAGATCCGTCACCCACTTGGGAGGCTCTTGTCCAAACTGAGTCTGAAGTTTGACTTCTAAAACCCCATACCTTGACGAACGTGAACATGACGAACGTGAGCATGTTACGAAACGGCTCAATAAGGGAAACGCACTTGAAAAGCTCTTTATCCGCCGCTAACACCTGATCAAAAGGATGGTCGATCCCAATGTCGGTTCGCCGCCAGTTATCGCCAGTACGCGTTTGTCCGTCCCAGTTGTCTTCGCGGACCATGGTGAGTTCCGTATCAAGTGATATCCGTACACGAGGATCTCCTGGGAGCTGGAACGCGGTTCGGTTGTAAAACGTCCTCATGACTAGTATATTTGTCAGTAAAGAAGTCAGACATCGAACGTGCGTACATACCCGGGTGGAGCTGCTTCGTAAGAATACGATACTGGACTTCGCTTGCAAGCTGAATCATGGAATCGACTTCGGCTTGTGTCTTCTTGCCCTTCTCAACTAGAGCCTGGAGCTCCGCGTCCATGGTATATTCTCCACGCAGAAAAGCGTTCACGAGATTTTCTTTGATCGGGAAACGCGCCTTGACGGACTTTTCGCCTGTCCAGTCCTCTCTGTGTGTCTTACGCTCCACGAAAATCTGAGGGATGAGGTTCAGTGGGCTCCACAAATAAAGTCAAGCACACTGACGGTTTTCACGTCTGTGTCGCCGTACCACCGGAGACGGATAGCTTCGGCACCCTCTGTCTTCTCCAGTCGACCGAGGTAAAGTTCAAGATCTTCATTGTCGAAGTATATTGAGGTGATAGCTCCAAAAAGCGTCGACAATACATCCTCTGATGATTCAGAATCAAAAACGTACCAGCGTCCTTCTGTTCGAATTCCTTTTCGGCATTGAAGACTATAAAGAGAGATAAATCGAAGAAAGTACCAAAATGCACTTTCACTAACCGAGAACGGGTAGATGTCGTAAAATGGCCAGTTTCAGTGGAACCAGGTTATCTGGATGCACCTAAAATTGACTAGTTAGTAAACATAAACCTGAGAAGAAACATATTTATTACCCAATACTTTGTCGTCTGACGTACAAAGGCACTTTGGTTCCCGCCTGCGCTTGAATCGCCCTGTACAGGATGTCCTCGAGTGCGGACCAGGTCGTAGAGCTTGGATAACTTGACGATCAAGATGTCCCAATTGTATTTATAGAAGGGCCTTTCCTCAAGATAGTGTTGAATAAACGTAGGTTTCAGCGGAAAATTTGTTATTTTCTGACGGTGATAAATCAAGGATGACACATCAGGAAATTGAGAAAACGCACATCGTGTTTCTATGGAGATGACTGGTGAATTGGTATAAGGCGAGAGGCATGAATGGACGTACCTTTAAAATTTTAAGAAAACCAGTGATATTCAACTTAGTGTACAACGCCAAGTCGTGAACGTCTGCTACGAGGGTAGCGACTTCTTCTTGAAGGCCGTGAAAGAGGTCTTCGAGTGAGGCATCAGATTGGTTATCGTCCATATCATCATCGTCATCGGAGCCCTCGTCGGGTCCATAGTCGGAAGGGCGTGCTTGATGAGATTCTGGGTCAGAGGAATGGGCGGGGAGTGCCTCGGAAGAAGATTGAGATTCTTGAGCGACGAGTTTTTGAACGTCCTTTTCAGCATCCCGTATACGGCGAGATAGCTCAGCGGTCTGGACAGCATCAGCTCAAGTAGAGGAATGAACTGAGCTTTGATTATTTACCTTTTGCTTTTGAAAATCATAAACTTTATCGAGCTCCTGTTTCAGCATGGCGGTGAAATCACGTTCATCTTTGTCGTCCCAGGTGTGAGAGGTGGTGCGAGACTACCCAGAAAGAGCGGATGAGTATGGGTCGAGCGGTTTAAAGAAGGATTTACCTTGAGTTCACGTTTCAACAAATTGTAGTCGATGTAGAAGGGTCTCCATTCATCATAAAGGTTAGTCTGTCAGAACAAGATCGTCTAGTTCGCTTCACCTAATTTACCATACGCAAAAATGACGCACCGTGATCTTCCTTCCAAACTTCATGATGCGCCTATCAACGACTAGCTAGGAATAAGTGGAAATCGTTTAGAAAAGAGCGTTCTGCAAGTCTGCGGCGGTAGCTCACCAACGCGAAACAAGGAGAAGAAGATTGGGCGTTAACGCGTTAATTTAATAATTAAGGAGAAGTGGAACATGCTGAGTCTTAGTCAGCGTCATAATCCACTTCTCGGTCCGACTCGGGAGAACGAGTCTCGAATCCCACGTAGATGACACGCCGGACATAACGTTTTAGACTTTCTAAAAAGAAGTGCCATCACATGGTGATGAGCTCGACTTGGCATTATGAGACCGTGCACAGAAAAGAGCGTAATCAGCTTGTATACTGGTTCTGGATGCAAGAGGGTTTGGTATTGGTAAGTGGTTGGAGATACTTCAGAATATCTCATTGAAATAAGTACCACGACAAGAAAATAAAAACAAATTCTCCTGCTCCCGGCTCTCCGCATCTTTTGATCCAATTGAGCACGTCTCGTGCTACACACTGCTAGTTTGCACATGCACACGCTCCTGGCAAGCAATCGAACTCAAGTTTGTTACTGCATAGGAGTCAGCCTCGACTCGAGCGTAATGTTCTCGAATGCCAAGGACTAGGCGTGATCCCAGCACAAATAATTGCATGAGCAAAAAAATACTGGCAACGCCAGTGTAAATCGGAGGTCCTAGGGAATTTGAGTTCTATAGAAACGATGAACAATGGTCATATATAGAGGTCAGGGAAAGTTCGACATACTGACGCTGAGATCGCAGGAGACAAATAACCAAGCTCGAGACAAGAAGCAACAACAAAACTGGTACACGTGAAATTTCAATCGAAGAAAGAAAGAGAACACATTCGCATTATCAGCTCACCTTGCAAAGTAAGCCACATGGGATTTCGTTAATACCATTAAACCGCTCTCGATGATATCTCTTGCCGAATGCCGTCGCAGTTCACGAAAGTGTTTTACAGCAATCCAGGCTGTGAGACACAGTGCGGCGACCTCCCATGCGGTAGTGAGTTTTCAAGTCGCGGTATACAGATATGTACTATCTCGCCACTTCAAGGTGACCTTGCACAGATAGGTGCAAGAACGAATGAGCTCCTCTGGCAATCGTCAATGAGCTTCGTGCAGCGGTATTTGATACATAAAATGAGCTCACCCCCTGACATATGGCTCGTTGTTATCGCGGCGAAAGCGCAGTAGACGATGTTGACAGCCAGGAAGGTAACAATGAGAAATATCATAACCTTTCTGGAGCCCTGATATACAGCACGTAACCGGAAAAGTATGATGAATTGCATGATGTTTCAGTCAAGTTGATACGAATAAGACATTGGAGTTGCATAGCTCACCGCCTATCATTACATTTGAAACGACGTTTATCCAATTTAGTATGACAGACACGATAAGACCTGACGAATCCAGTCAGTGGTAAGCCTCACAGGATTACGCGCTCGATACAAACTCACAGCTGTGGTTATTATGATTATTATCATATTGGACTAGCAGACCAATCGAGGATCTCACTCACCCCTACACGGAAGCGCAGTTTAGTGAATGGGAATGGCAGGAATATGTGCGTAATACTCACTGTATCCGTCATCGAAATTGTCGGAACATTGTCTGTATGCCACTGGTCAGAAGAAACAAACATCGTGTAAGCGAGGAGCCATACACAGTATGTTGATGCTAAGTGTGAGAGACAGATCATTAGCGCGATACAAGTCGCTTAGCTTTCCAGACATACACGACAAATAAAATTCCAAAATAGCGCACCTAGGATATCTTCAAGTTAGCACAAACTGTTGATCATATTATAATGCAAGTTACACACACTAAGATACAGAAGGGTTATCAGCGACCATCGTTGCCTCTGCGAATCAATCATACATGTAAATAAGTTTTCTGAATTTGGACTGTGCTCACCCAGACGAGTTCGACCTGTGATACTATTCTCAGCAATATGACTGTGCCGATAACAACATCGACCCACCTCTTGTCCAAATGTCAGTGCTGGCAACACCATCAGGATATCGGTGATTATTTAGTATCACATTACTCACCCCAATCGTATATTACCCCAGCAGAAGAAGCAACTGCGAAACCACAGGCAGGGTTACATTGAGTATCACCGTCAGCCAGCTGGCTCTCCACAAACCTGCAAAGTAGCTATAGATGAGAGTCCCATTGATGGCCGGCCACCATCTGGGATCATTCGAGACACGGTTCATACTGCTGTTCGAGGATGGATATGAGGGAATGGAAAAATTGGTAGATACGACGATAGCTTTCGTGCTAGATATATCCAGCATATTATGGTCCAAATGAGCATCATCACAGTTCAATGGATGATCGATCTAAGCTGACTGATCCACAATTTCAGCAACGTGTCCCGATGCCATTTTTAAGAGGAGGTTTGGTTACCAGTCAAGACTCTATCGATCAAATCATAGGAAACCATGCGGTTCATTGATCTACATCAGGCCCACGTGTGATGTGCAGGCTGACGGTCGAGTAAGTGCGTTTTGCTGACCCAGGTATCGCGGCTTCGGTGTCTCCCAACGGGGTTATATTTTGGGCATGGCGCCAGAACTGCGAAAAATCAGGGAGGACCACATGGAGCAGACAGATAACTCGCCCGTCCTGCCCGGGCTACCATGACATACCTCTCAACATCTGGTCTCGCTCCTCCCAGTCCTCAGTCTCTGGATCTGCCGCTTCGTGCGCACCTTGTTGCTCTCTGCCTCAGCTATCGGGTCATCTATCGCAGGAAATGCCAAAAAATGGTAAGCGTATTGTCAACTTGAATAGGATTCGATGGTGGGAAAGAATCAGTGGTGTGTCGTGTAGCTGATGCCGATAGCAATATGCATCAATTTCCACAGCCTGATACTAATCCTGATACATATCACTGTGCGTGGTCAGTGAATGAACGACACGTTCCCAGATCAAGATGGACAGCTTATTAGGCGACTTTTAAAACTCAGGAAGTGCCGCCTGCGTCGGCGGGAGCCTTGCTTGACCAATTAACATGAATGGTAACGATGAATCTGAGTTCATTGCTGCTTGGAGTAGAGTAACGAGCAGATACATTTTTGAGAGCAGAGGCAGACGACGTCGTCGACTCGTGGTTGCATGTCACGTGAAGTTAGAGCGGCCGCGTCTGAACTTTCCTTCCTCCGACACAGCTACTCAAGCGTAGCCAACTCGCAGACTGATGCATCCATACGCAGGACCAAAGTTCTGTTTCTGGGTACAAGGGGTGCAAGTACTCTTCAAAAATATCCCGACCAAACAGATTTTCTATCTAGAACCCACCGTGCGTGTTGCGAAACGTTTCATTGAGTATGTACCCGTCTCTGACCCTTGCTGGCGCCTAGTGCTGAACGCCGTCTCTTAGTATCGTCATCCCGTTGGAGATATGAGGCTATCCCGGAAATGCCACTATCGATACGCTCGGCACATGCTTCAATGATGTCTCGACAATTATCTTTGTCAAAGACCTTCGAGTACGTGACTGTATTTGGCCACTAACCGGTAGCCTCATCGAAATCAGCAGGATCTGTACTAAAAACCTCTCTCAGAGCTTGTAGAATTCATCGTTGCAGCATGCCAAGTCAACTCAGAGATCATCGATCAACTTTAAAGTTTTCGTGCACAAAGCAGAAAGACTCCAAGAAAACGACGAAATCGGTCCGTTCGTCCCCCGTGTATTCATTGTTCGCGTAACTGACATGGAGCCCAGAAAACTTCCGTCAGATGCACGAGCGCATTACGGACTACTTTCTGGATGAATCTCCTTCATTCGAACGGTTCTTTCTCAAGTTTCGTCTCACCTCCATATATGACCATTCTCTGAGAAGCGTTCTCTCGCATGATTCACAAATTGATTGACTCTGTCGTATCTAGATGAACTATTCAATGTCTTTTACTCTACGTGCTTTGACCTCCCTTGGTTTCTACTGTTCTCTCTGACTGGTCATGAAACACTGCCTCACCGAAGCCTTTCCTATTCGACACATCTAGTAAAATACCCAGACTCTCATCCACCCTTGAATAATAACACCAGACACAACAACGATCCACGGATAAGTCGATTTTTCTTAATAGCAAGGCCCCCACCAACAGCCACCGCCTCAACCGCCGCCTCTGACATCACTCCAACCAAAACAATATCCACTATCAACTAGTACCACTTCCCGCGTTCCTTCCACAGCGACATCACTATCGCATTCACACCCAAGAACTATGCTCACTTACTACTTCGTTACGCCGCACTCGCACTGCTTGCATTACTTCCTACGACGGTGTATGAGATGCCCAGAGGTTTGGTGGAGTGGAACTTTGTATGGGCCGTGATTGTGTTCGGGTGCACGAAAGGCGGAGAACCACTCGATGTAAGCCTTCGTCATTCTCTTCGAGATGTTTTCAAAAATATGAAGTCTGTCAGCTGCCAGTTGTGCCGGCACTTGGTCAAAACGCAGCCAAAAGTAGTTTTGCCCCCGATACTAGTCGCATCACGCATGACAATCACATGGTGATGAGTTCGACTTTGCATTATAAGAACATATGTGTACAGAAAAGAGTGTAACCAGCTTGTACACTGGAATGTAGCAAAAATAAATCTTTCTGGACGTAAGAGGTATCTATAGTTTGCTGTTGAAAGCACCTAGTAAGTGGTTGGAGATACTTCGGAATATCTCATTTGAAACAAGTACCATGACGAGAAAACAGAAACGAGTTCTCTTGCTCCCGGTTCTCCACATCTTTTGATCCAATTGAGCACATTTTGTGCTACACACTATGGCTAGTTTGCACATACACGCGCTCCTGGAAAGCAATTGAACTCAAGCCTATTGCTGCAGAGGACTCAGCCTCGGCTCGAGCGTAATGTTCTCGAATGCAAAGGATTAGGCGTGGTCCCAGCACAAACAATTGTATGAGCGAAAAAATACTGGCAACACCAGCATAAATCGCAGGTCCTAGGGAATTTGGGTTCTATAGAAACGATAAACAGTGGTCCATATATAGAGGTCAGGGAAAGTTCGGCATACCGACATTGAGACCACAGGAGACAAATAACCAAGCTCGAAGCTCGAAGCAGCAACAAAACTAGTACGCGTGAAATTTCAATGGAAGAAAAAGATAACATTATCAGCTCACCTTGCAAAGTAAGCCAAGTGGGATTTCATTAATACCGCTAAACCATCCTCGACGATATCTCTTCTCGAATGCCGTCGCAGTTCACGAAAGTGTTTTACAGCAATCCAAGCTGTAAGACACAATGCGACAACCTCCCATGCGGTAATAAGTATCCAAGTCAGGGTATACATAAGTGTACTATCTCCTCCCTCGAAGACGACATTACACCGATAGGTGTAAGAAAGAATGAGCTCCTCTTGCAATCGTCAATGAGCCTCGTGCAGCGATATTTGATACATAAATGAGCTCACCCCCTGACAAATGGCTCGTTGCTATTACGGCGAAAGCGAAGTAGAAAATGATGATAGCCAGGAAGGCAACAATGAGAAATATCATGACCTTTCTGGATCCCTGATATACAGCACGTAACCGAACAATCATGATGACTTGCATGATGTTTCAGTCAAGTTGACACGACTAAGACATTGGAGTTGCATAGCTCACCGCCTATTATTACAGTTGCGAGAAAGTTTATCCAATTTTGTACGATGGACACGATAAGACCTGACGGATCCAGTCGGTGATCAGCCTCAGAGGATTATGTACTCGATACAAACTCACAGCTGTGGTGGTTATTGTATTGGAACTAGCAGGCTAATCAAGGATCTCACTCACCCCTACATGGAAGCGCAGTTTAGTGAATGGGAACGGCAGGAATATGTGCAGAATACTCACTGTACTCGTCATTGAAATTGTCGGAGCATTATCTGTATGCCACCGGTCAGAAGAAACAAACATCATGTAAGCGATGAGCCATACACATTATGTTGGTGCTGAGAGACGGATTTATTAGCACAATACAAGTCGCTTAGCTTTCCAGACATACACAACAAATACAATTCCGAAATAGCGCACCTAGGACACAATTAAGTTAGCACAACTTGTCGGCCACATTATAATGCAAGTTACACACACTAAGATACAGAAGGGTCATCAGCGACCATCGTTGCCTCTATGAATCAATCATATATGTGAATTAGTTTGTCGGATTGGGATTCTGCTCACCCAGACCAGTTCGACCTATCATACTATTCTCAGCAACTTGACTGCGCCGGTATTAACATCAACCCACCTCTTGTCCAAAACCCAGCGCTGGCAACACCGTCAGAACATTAGTGATTCTATAGCATGATGTTGCTCACCCCAATCATATATCACCCCAGCAGAAGAAGCAACTGCGAAACCACAGGCAGGGTTAGATTGACACATCACCATCATCATACAGTTGGCTCTCCACAAACCTGCAAAATAACTATAGATGAGAGCTACGTTGATCATTTGAGACCCGACTCAGATCATATTACTGTTCGAGGATGGATGTGAGGGAACAGCAGACTTGGTGGTTTCGTGCTGGATATATCCGGCGCATTTATACGTGGTCGAAATGGGCATCATTTGATTCGATGATGTCGGCAGTCGCGAATATTTAAAGACTAGTGGCTGAAAATTGATTGTTTCAAGTGTTAATATACACCCCGATGCTATTTTTGAGACGAAGTTCTTATTGTGAAGGTTCCATCAGTAAGCCACGTAGTTTATTGATCTAGGCATCAGGCGGTCAGGCCTACGTGTATCGAACGAGCGTCTCGATATCAGTCTCGATGAGTCTCCGGGGTCAGATTCTGGGTATGGTGAAAAGCGACACATTAGAGAGGAACCAAAGAGGAACACACGGAGCAAATGGACAACTCGCCTGCCAACAAACCCTCTTCAAGCATACCTCTCGACATCTAACCTTCTTGCTCCTCCCGGTCCGCAGCACCCGTCACCTCGATGGTGGGAAAGAGTGGTGCAGTGTAGCTGATGTGTATCAATTTTCACAGCCTTATACCAATCCTGATGCATTAAAGTTCAAATCCATACGTAAGGTAAGTACATCATATAGCGCGAATGTTACCGCTAGTATCCATTTATCAAGTTCACGTCTCACCCACACCCATTCTCTAATAATATGACTATAGTCTCAAATGATCCCACGTGGTGGCCGTCCATCGATGTACATCGTTTTGCCAGCTATTTTCCAGGTTCGTGGAGAGCAGTCGGATGCTGAAGCTGATGTCTCAATCTGAACTTGGCTGTGGTTTTGCAGTTGCCGCCTTCGTTGTAATGACATATGATTGGGGTGAGCATGATGACATCAAAGGACTGTTGATGTCTCACAAGTATTTTTCAGCACTAACATTTGGACAAGAGGTATGTCAACACTATCACCGGAACCCGTCTTGCTAATAATCCTTTTGTAGGTCGAATTAGTCTGGGTGAGTACAGTCTCATGCCAGAGGGAACACACATGCAAGTACACTTAATTACAGAGACAACCCTGGTCGCTCATGACAGTGATGTATCTCAGTGTATGTAGCTTGTTTGTCGTTGTTGCCATTGTGTGCTGACTTGAAAGTATACTAGGTGCGCTACCTTGGAATCCTATCTGCTGCGTATGTTCCCAAGGCTAAACATTCGGTGTTGTGCTAAGCATCTATCTCTTATAATCAGTCTGTCCATGGTTGGTATGTCTCCTTAGTACGTTCACTGTCATCTCTTCTTCTGACCAGCGTTATTCAGACAATGTTCTGACCATCTCGCTGACAGATACAGTGAGTCTTCTGTATAAATGCCTCCCATTCCCCTCAAATTAACCGTGGTGTTCTGTAGCAGTGGGTGCGGCTCTTTGCTGACTTCTCAGTCCACTAATGGCTGCCACGCTTTACTATCAAAGATGTGAGTCTGTTTGGAGTGTGCGCTACCTGAGACTGGTCGCTGATCGGATTTGTCAGGCTGGATGATGTACATTATATGGGTTTGGACGGTTTTTGTGGGATTTCCGATGTTGTGGGGTGAGCTTTGCACTTGCGAGACCTCGGTGATATTGGAATGACTAAAACATGCTGCAAGCCATCATCATCACTCGGTTGCATGCTATGTATCAACGAGACAGGAGGATCCTGATATTTCTTGTTGTCACCTCCCTGGCGATCAACACTTTTGATGGAGTGACAACTGTGATGTCAACGATGCATACTTCAGGAGGTACGCTTAATTATGGATGAAAACGAACATGCATAGGGCTCATTGATGGACACCAGAGGAACTCATTCTCTCCGGCACCTACCAGTGCAGGATTAGCTATACAGGAGATACCCTAGCTCTGTATTCTGCAGCTTGGATACTCTACATTGTGTGGGAGGTCCTCACACTATGTTTCGCAATCTGGATTGCGGTAAAACACTTCCGTGGACTGCGACAACATTCGACAGTGGGGATTATCGGGGATTTTTTTACGGTGTTGATGAAAACTCACGTGGTTTACTTTGTGAGGTAGGTTCATATTGTAATTATTGTTGTCCTTTTCCACTGAAGGGTCGGACTTCGTAGCTTTGTCGCTGTTTCGTGTTTCGCCCTCATCTTCGATTTATCTTCAACATTATCAACGGTATGTCAATCTTTCGCTTAACTCTGCATGCAACCACGATTCATCATTTTTATAGGGCCAAAATCTCGTAGGAAGTCAGACTTATGATGGCTTGGCTCAGATTTTTTTAGTCGTGCACATGTTTGTGCTGGGACCACGCCTGATCCTTGGCATTCGAGAATATAATGCTAAGCTAGTGGCTGACCCCGACCCAGCATCCCGCATGACCTCAATCGCTTTCCAAGAGCGTGTGCATATATCGACTAGCAGTAGTGTATAATGCTCAGTGAAGCTGACGCAAACCGTTGTCTAGTGCTTGCAGGGAGCACAGGCAATTTGTTTTTTGTTTCCTCGTTGCGGTGCTCAAGTAGTTGTTTGGTGTCACAAAGTAGATGTCAAGGAGACATAATATTTTCGTCGTAGTATTTATTCGAATCATTTGCTATAGGTCCTGTTTCAACCAATCCAATGTCCTGGAGATCTCTACTGTATCAACGAAGGAAAGCAGTGTACAGAACGGGAAAGTCGAGGAGCGAGAGATGTTTATAGGCGATGTCGCCGGAACGTTAGATGCGAGTTTCTATGTGCTCGTGCTTCTCATCTTCGAGGATAGCTCGTGACCCACCTCTCGTCATATCGGAAGCACTATGGGAGAGGCAGGCTGAACAGCTACAAAGGATGGGCCGAAAATACGCAGCGGCTCATTCGGAGATCTCCTAGTAGTCCAGTACCATTCTGGGGTATCTCACCCGACGAAGTATCATAATAGGCGGGACCCTTTTGTTTGGCCAGCTCCACAACTAAACAAAAGCGGTGAATGAACAAAAATGGATTCTGACCTATCGATATGATGTTAGCTGTAAGCAACGCGCAATCTTTCCTGCAACTATCTATTTATGCTCAACTCGTTCAGACCGCTGTACAGGTACGTAATGGGACTCCCACCCAACCTTGAATCATCTCACCAGATTCAACTTCAACGATCCACGGATAAGTTGATTTTCCTCAATACCAAGGCCCCACCAGGCGTTGACCTACAGCAAATGATTCGAATAAATACTACGACAAAAATATCACATAAACCTATGTCTCTTTGATATGTACTTTGCGACACCAAATAACTACCTACCGCAACGAAGGCTTGGAATTAGTGATGTGCACGGCCCGGCTTGGCCTGAAAGCCGCGGCTTCGGCCTGGCTTCAGACGGCTTTGGCTTTGAAAAACTGCGGGCCAGGCCAAAGCCGTCAATGACGGCTTGGCTTTGGCCTGGCTCGGCCTGAGCCGCGGCCCGAGCACTGAAAACAGAAAAATGGTTCAGACAAGGATGACATACTATTTACACGAAGTCGCTGTCTGATTCTACGAGATCCTCATCTCCCTCCAGAAGAGCGTCCCAACCTTCATCCTCGGCATCACTCAGCTTCTCGGAGTCGTTAGTGTCTGACTCAATATCCAAGTCCTCGAGAGCTTCCTCAGTTGATGATGATGGTCCAGGCTCACGGAAGAGTACGTCGTGGCGGAGGGCGCATTTGACGCATTGAAGTGCCTCAACAATGTCACCCTTGAGACGGTTTCGGCGCTTGCTGATAGTGATACCGCCCTGTGAGAACGCGCGCTCACTTGAAACTGACGATGCCATAATTGACAGGTACTGAAAATGACGAGTGTGCTATCTGCTAACACTGTGGCAAGTGAGTTGTGTCGAGCTTGAAAAGAATGTCTGCGACTCACTGTGATTCTTACCACATGAACATGCACACAATGTAAGTGATTGAAAAGCTAAAATGAGACAGAAGTCAGATTTTCGATCGACGATCGTCAAACAGTTTGAGCTTGGGCGCTGCAGGCACAGTTGACTAAGCCGCGGCCTGAGCCGGCGGCTTTGGCTTTTCATTAGCCCAGGCCAGGCCAAAGCCGTCACCAGGCCGTGACTTTGGCTCGGCTCGGCTTGGCCTATTCAGGCCCGGCTTGGCCTGGCCCACGGCCTGAAGCCGGGCCGTGCACATCACTACTTGGAATGGAGACAAAAATCCCTGTTTGATACAGAGCACCGGACAAGAGCACCGGACAGTTACACACCATGGCCAGTCAATATATGCATGCGCTCCTGGAAAGCGATTGAGGTCATACCAGATACTGCGTCGGAGTCAGCCATGAGCTTGGCGTGATATTCTCGAACGCCAAGGATCAGGCGTGGTCCCAGCACAAACATCTGCACAACGTTCAAAATTTGAAGCAAGCCATAAAAAGCCCGAGTTTCTATGGGATTTAGGTCCTATAGAAATGATAAACCGTGGGTGTATGAAGAGGCAAGCGAGAGATTGACATACCTCTGAGATTGTTGGAGAGAAATTGATAATGAGCTCGGAGCTAGAAACAGCAACAAAGCTACCATGTTCAACCCTTCAGTGGAAAAAGCAACAACAATCACGATATGAGCTTGCCTCGCAAAGTAAACCACATGAGTTTTCATCAACACCGTAAAACAGTCCCCAATAATTCCTCCTGCCGAATGTTGTCGCAGTTCACGGAAGTGTTTTACTGCAATCCAGACTGCCAGACACAGTGCGAGGACCTCCCACACGGTGGCAAGTATCCAAGTGATAGAAATCAGAAGTATGCCATCTTTTGCACATCCAATTGAGCACTGATAAGTACCGGAGAGAATGAGTTCCTCTGGTATTCATCAATTAGTCCCATGCATGTGTTTTCATCAAAATCAAGTGTACCCCCTGAAGCATGCATCGTTGTCATTATGATGACCACTCCGTTAAAAATGTTGTCAGCCAGGAAGGTGACAATGAGAAATATCAGCATATTTCTGGATCGTTGATACATGGCATGTAAGCGAGTGATCATAATGACTTGCAGTATGTTTCAGTCAAGTCAATATCACTGAGGTCTCGTAAGCGACAAGCTCACCCCACAGCATTGGAAATATCAAAGTAGACGTCCAATCCTGTACGATGTACATAATAAAGCCTGACAAATCCAGTTAGTGACAGCCTCAGGTAGCACACTTCAAACATACTCACATCTATGACAGCATGGCGTGACAGTCATTAGTCAATCAAGAAGTTAGTAAAGAACCACACCCACTGCTACAAGGTACCGCGGTCAATCGGAGGGGAATAGTGGGCATCTGCGCAGAAGACTCACTGTATCTGTCAGCGGGATGGTTGGAACGCTACCTGTGCGCCAATGGTCAGAAGAAGCAATGATGGCGAATGTACTAAGGAGACATACTCAGGACGGCCAGGCTGATCATGAGAGATGGATGATTAGCACGACACTGACTGTTTAGCCTTCCGAACATACACAGCATATAAGATTCCAAGATAGCGCACCTAGGATACTTTGAAATCAGTACAACGTGGCAACCGCAAAAAAACAAGTTACATACACTGAGATACAGAAATGTCATTAGGGACCAGCGTTGCCTCTGGAATCAAGCATATTTTCATGTGTGTTCATCTGACATGAGAGTCTACTTACCCAGATCAATTCGACCTGTAAAACCATTTTAGCGAGATGGCTGCTCCGACCATAGCATTAACATACCTCTTGTCCGAATGTAAGTGCTTAAAATGCTTGTAAGATATCAGCATTCCTTTACTATTATCATGCTCACCCCAATCATACATCACCCCAACAAAGGCAGCAACTACGAAACCACAGCCAAGGTTAGAGTGAGTCAGCATCATATCCGACTGCTCTCTACGAACCTGCAAAATAGCTGGCAAAACGGTATGCATCGATGGACGGCCACCAAGTGGGATCGTTTGAAACTATGGTCATATTGGGAGAGACTCTAGTGGGTGTGGGTGAGAGGCGAACTTGGTAGATGTATGTCAATAAAATTCGCGCCATATGTACGTATAACTGCTATCCAGTGCATGAGTAATCGAAATCCGAGTCAAGGGGTGATGTCTGTGCACTCCACGTAGATTGCTTGACTGTGAACGTGTCAGGCACCATAAGTTCTTGTATTCCTTATACAAAAAAATTCTGGACTTTGCTCCAGCTTCGTCTGGTGCTGAGTCAGATTTGCGTTTGGTTCGACTAGAAAGGTTGGGCTGTGCCTAGAGCGTTTACTCTTCGCAAGCAGACGAGTATGAGATTCGGAAGTGCAACAACTTGTTGACTTGGGACAACGCGAATAAAGGAACGATACAAGCTTGGGCTACACACCTATTGCTCTGCACTAGTGAGCCTGGAGTTCACTGGTAGATGTTGACATGAGAGTCAGACACGACAGTCAATTATGCAACTAATGTGTCGGAAATCTCCAGGGGTGCCTTGCAAGTGTTCCTTATTGGGACATTAATTTGATGACTGACAACTACATTGCGTCTGTATTCCCATAGGGTGTGAGTTATTTTAGGGCGCTTGAAAGGATGCACGTGTCGCTTACAAGTATTTTTAGCGCTTCCAAGTTGCTTCCAAGGCTTCGGTGCATAAGATTCAGACTGAGTTCGTCGGAAGTTGCCGATATTAACTGTCATGTTAATACAGTTGCGGTGAATGATGCTAACGTCGAGTCGACTTATAAAATTTGTTGCCTCTACTATCTTCTCAGTATTGTCTCCTCCCTTTCTGTGTCTGTATTTTTAACAACACTCCTGTATGGCGCTGACCTGCACCAAACTGGTTCGGTGCATGGATGACTGATACTCTCCTATGAGCCCTATGCCCTATGAAATCATTTTCTCTATGATCTGAAGTCAGACTGAGGCTAAGGGAATATTTTTTGTTTTTACGAGTTTGCATGCAAGCGGACTGAATATTTTAGTACATTTAATTCGGCAATGAGTTCTGCTTAGTCAGCCATGGTGATGACCCAGACAAAACTCCCACGCATGTCAGGTGACTGTGAAAAATATTTCCCACATATGTTGTCCTGGAAAAACATTCGTAAAACCCTAAATACTAGGCTCGCGTCATTTTCACCCTTCAAACAAAGCAAAGAAATGACAGACACACAAAGGATTCACATCATGTGACATTTCTTACTCTCTTTCTGGACTTGTCATCAGGAGTTGGATAGGTCACATGACTAGCAACAAGCCAGGATGACTTAGCAAAATACCCAATGACTCATTATGACTCACTATGACTAGAAATAACTTTGAACTGACTCACTATGACTCACCCTGAATATATGACTCATTATGACTCTTTACGACTCTTGAATGACTCTTTATGACTCTTGAATATACTAGTAGCACAGCCACATTTATTGTGTATATAATGACCCCAGTTTTGAAATAAAAAACCAAAAAAAACCAAGTGGGAGTTTTCAGCCCATCTAACATTAAGTTGTGAGTAAGGTGTGATAAGTGTCAGCATCAGTGTCAAGAACTGTTCAAGACTGAGAGGAACATTCTCAAGAGACAGTAATACTGCAAGCTCATCATACTAAACGACTAGCTGCGAGCTCACTGTGTGCAACAACCAGCAAGCAAGGTACAGCCACAGTTTTATTCAAATTTCTATTTTCTTTTCTTTTCTCTTTTGTTTTACTTTCACCAGCCTTTGGTGTTCTCTTTCCAAAAGGCATATTCCAAAATATTCGTGTTGTCTCTACGTCCACCTAAGACTCAGAGTAGCTTAGTGGGGAGACTTAAGGGATTGATAGTGAAGCTTGACCTCACTCATCTGAGTAGTGATACTGAGCCAAGGTTTTCTGTGCCTGCTAGGCTTTAGCTGTTGAAGAGGGGACTTGGTAGTAAATCCAAGGACGTCCGTTCCTGAGTCTGTTTGAATACTCAAAGTGAGTTCCTTGACAGCAGGTTCAATATTGAGCTAAGAGTTCTACAATAAAGCATTTGACTAGTCTTGACCTTTGATTCTACCTGTTTTGTGCTGAGGGGGTTGATCATTGTAATTCCGCACCATTCTTTTTGGAGTACAGTTTGGTAAGAGGCACTGTTGTTGAAAGGAAGCTTGAGGAAGAACTTTCTATTTCTTTGGTTACTGCCATACTGTCGGGCTGACCATTATTTGTTTGTTTGTTTGTTTCTGTCAAGTCCATAGATTGGATTGACCATCGTATTTACTGATCTTGCAGAAGTATCTTTAGCTGAACGTACTTTGGGTAGTATACAACTAGCCACCCACGAACGACCACGTTATCAGTCATTGGTATTTGTCTGAATCGCTGACCGTGGAGATATTTGTTTTTATAGGTGTTTATCTATAGATCATCTATCTAAGAAGACAGCGCCAAGCAGAAGCGTCGCAAATGGTCCAGCCAGGCGACGCAAGTATACTGTCAATGTACTAAATATACCCTCGGCCTCCAACAACCAAATTCATTGTCAATACTGCGATAAGTCATTCTCGTCTCGCGGGATACGATCTCACGAGCAAAGTTGTTTGAGAAGACGAGAGAAAAAGAAGGATGATGATGAGTTTGCAGTGCTCGCAGCACAGGCGGTTGAGGAGCAAATCAAACAGAAAGGTATGTGGTGAATTGTGCTTCTATCGACTTAAAGCAATAGTACTAATATCTCTTACCACACAATCATCAGCCAATCCAACCTGTTCAACCTGCACTGCCAGCACTGCCTACCAATCCACCACTCATTCTACCATTGCCAGGAGGCAAACATGCCCCTGCTAAGTTCAAGGGGAAGTATAATCAAGTCAAGAGATTCATTCGTCACTACGAGAGACTATGTGACCAACTCCTAATCACAACTGACCAAGAAATGTGTGAGAATGTTACCTTGTACTGTTCCTCAAGCATCACTCGGCTTATAGAAATATTGCCAAGCTACAGAAACAACAACTGGGCCGACCTGAGGGCAGACTTTAACAGTCTCTTTGACGCAGATCGGGACGCCAAGCGATACAAGGTTCACAGCCTAGTAACTTTTGTCAACAAGCATCGGTCAGCATCTATAAGGACATTGTCAGATTGGAAAAAGTATACCCGGGATTTTATGGCTATAGGAGGATGGCTATTAGCAAAGAGCAAAATCTCAAGCAATGACCATGCTACCTACTTTTGGAAAGGAATTCCTAGAACATTACGTTCCAGAATCGAAACACGGTTATTAGCAACAACACCCCTAAGAGATATGACAACTCCTTTCTCCTTCGATGAGGTATCCCAAGCAGCAGAGAAGATTCTGCAGCGTGACCGCTTTGACACTGACTTAGTATATTCAGATACGGATAATTCAGATAGCAGCGACTCAGACAGTTCCAGCGACACTGATTCAGATACGGAATCAAGTTCAGATTCAGAAGAGGATTATCAGAAGAGGCGCAAGTCTTCAAAGAGAGCAAAGCATAAGAGGCACTTACCCAGTAAGACCATTATACATAAGACTCGCTTTGAAGATGGAAGCTCTGATGAGGAAACCCCTATTACCAAGACACGAAGAGCAGTTCACAGACAATGGGCTGCTAAGCAAGGCTCACAAGAAGAAGTAGAAAATTTGATTCAACAACTGGGAAGAATGAAAATAGGGGATGCTAACTATAGCACACTCTACTACCAAGCTATAACCTTAGATCCTGCAGTGAAAGATATTGTTGAGAATCCTTTAAGCAGAAGGAGAAGAGAACAAGACATGGGCTTAAGAGACACTAGATTTCCCAGTGCCAGATTCACACCAAGAGACAATGGAACAAATCATATAACTAGAGGTACCAACAATCAATACAATGTACCTAATAGAACTAGTACTACCCCTAACTACTCTAATACCCCCTATCCTGACAAACTAATCTGTTATGGTTGCGGAGAAGAGGACCATGGATTAGCAACATGTCCAAGAATAGAAGAACTGCTTACCAAGGGTGAGTTAGTAAGAGGAAGAAGCGGACAGATTATGTTGCCAGGGGAAATACCCCTAAGAAGATGGACGGGCCAAACAATAATCAATGCGTATGAAAATTGGAGTCGGACAGCGAAGACTCACTTTGTAAGGTGGACAGAACCCGAATCGGAAGATGCCGCGAGTGAATCCGATGGCTCGGAAAGTTGCTGGATGGCAGAGCACATGAGCGATGATGAGTCCGACGAAGAGGAAGTTTGCGCTTACCCGGTATACAGAACCCAGAAGGAAGGCGCGCGCAAAAAGTCCGAAGTGTTTGATGGTGTCTACCCGACGATGGGAAGAGATGCGCGGGAAGCAATGAAAAAAGAACAACGTCAGAGATATGAGCTGCGGGGAGACAGACAATACGCACCTGCATCAAGGACACAGCCTCCGAAGACCTCCGCCGAGCTTCCGACGCCCAGAAAATCCAACCCGACACCTCCGCCCAAACAAACGGTGCCCGAAGGCCGCGAGTTTAAGATAGTAGAACCTAGAAAAGTCAATGAATCAGTAAGGAAGTCCCCGGAATATCCCAGGGAGGACAAGGAGAACATACCTTTAAGGCCTGCAGCACGTCCAGAGTTAGTAGAAAAAGAAGAAAGGAAAGACGAACCTAAAAGAATATGGGCGTGCGAGAAATTCGCGCATGTGCCCAACGTTGATGGAGAAGCGCGGTATGATGCGCAGGACGACAATGTCGTCATGGAAGATGATGCGCTAATAAAAAGTAAAACAAAAGAGTTAGCAAGAAAGTTGGGAAAGGATGATATCAAGGACGTACCGAAAGAAAGGGCCAAGGCTCATATGCCCATCGATCATGTGATCGAACCTAAAACGGGAATAAGGCGATCAGAACTTGCTGATGGAATCAGCGCAAAGCTGGTTCTAAATAGAATATTGAACGTACCTGTAGAATTAACCGCTGGTGAGATCCTGGGGGTATCTAAAGAGTTAGCCGGACTTTTGGCTGAGTCAATAAAGCCAAAAACAATAAACAGAAAGGACGTACATCTGGTGTATGACTCGATGAAAAAGAGGAAGTCAGAAGCCGAAGGTTTCTGGATCACGGAAAATCCCGAAGCACGGACGAAAGAAGCGCTGATAGAACTTCCGATCAGAATTCACGGAAACAGTCTAAAAGCAGTAATAGATACCGGAAGTCAGCTAAATATAGTATCGGAACACATGTATGAGAAGTTTATAAAACTTCCGATCAACCGGAGCAAGACACTTGTGCTACATGACGCAAATGGCGGAAAGGGGCTGCTTAAGGGGCTCGTATCACAAGTTCCTATTAGTATAGGATCGGTTCTCACAATAGCCGAAATTTACGTAGGAGAAGCGGTGCCATTTGACATTTTGTTAGGCAGACCCTGGCAAATACATAATACAGTGTCAATACATGAACGTGCTACAGGTACTTGGTTAGAATTTGGGAATAGCCCCACCAATGATGACATATCCGAAGTTCTAGTAGTACCTTCCAAATTCGGAAAGAACCAAGAAAGCGGGGCAAAGAGCTGGAATATTACATGTTCGGCAATAACCGATATCAAACCGTTCCATCAAGAAGTATCTAAAAATAGTACTACTTCTTCGGAATCGGTTAATGTAGCGGTACCAAATATGGAAAGTCATGAGGACTGCAGACGTGTGCTCATGGAAATTCAGTCACACATAGTTCAACAAATCGCAAAAATGGTCGATAATTGTATGGACTTAATGAATAGTACAGTACATACCATAGATACAGGAAAGGGTATAAAAGAAGAAGAGACTTTGAGAAAAATGAACAGTCCAAACCCATCAATCACAATGCCCCCTAACCGAGCTGTCACACTGTTTCAACCAAATCCGGAAATGTTGCAGTACGCCGGGACCACGCATGACGTCAGATTCGCGCATCCCGGACATCACGCGTTTAGGCACACCGCCAATATTTCCAACGCGCATTCTATCAAAGGCAACCACGAGGCCGACTTCTTAGTCCTAAATAGTTCACAGTATAAGGAACTTCAGGAAGAAGCCAAGCACGTGGGAGAATTCATTCCCAGTATAGTAGTTTCGGCTAAATTCGCCGAGCCGGACCTCATTTCCCATTACGGAAGCATTACCATACCGGCGGTTGAGCTTCCCGTTGACGCCCGATCAATTCGATCACCCACCCCACTTGCGTTTGCCAAACACATTTCCAACGGCGCATTTCTTAAGGATTACGACGGCGACTTCCGCCGTTTCCATAACCTCTGCCTCCCTCTCCCCACCATCGACTTCAGTGACCTTGTCCACATGACGGACGAGGACATCAGCGCACTACCGGAAATTCCCGCCAATTCGGACATACTGGTAAGTGCCATATCAATACCCGATACTACTACCTACAATTTTTTTAAGGAACTCCACCTCCCAACTGATGGCGCGCACCATCTGTACCCGCGTTTCGTCGTGCCCGGCGAGACGCAGGGTACCAGTCCAACCCAGACTCAGGTCCGACAAACCGAGGACCCCCGCAGGAAGCTCTCACAGGCTTCGCCTGCATTATCACCCTCCATCCTCACCCCAATGTATCCCAATTCCCCGGCTGACCTTATCCCCAAGATCGAGTCCATTGGCGACGCTATAGCCGGACTCGCGGATGAGTGGGTTCGGCTGCCCAAAGTTCAATTTACGGACGGTACGACTACAACTACTACTGACACTACTGACGATGAAGATGACGAAATGGACGCGTCGGATGACGATGCTCTCATCTCGGACGACGAGAGCAGTGCGTCAGACTGCTCCTCCTTCGCGGACGATGACGACGACGACAACACCATTTCCACGCATGCTACTGCCATGCAGCGGCTCGCGCATCTTGCCCGCGACCTCACTAACCCACTCTCCTGGCGCGTTATGCCCCAACTTATCCCCTCCCTCAGGTTCAGTCGCACCCTCGACACTCTCGAGGAGCAGGACGAGTCCATGGATTTCACCCCTCGAAACACGCCCGTCGCCTTCGGCCTTACCGCCGACAAGCTCCAATACGACCCGTTGCCGTTCCAAGGCGAATTCGACAAAGAGCTTGTCCGGCGGGTCGCCAACATGACCTACTACTTGTCCCGCAAGATGATGGCCCAGGGATCACGCGAGCTAGGCACTGAGCTTGCAAGCTTCCATGCTGCTCGCCCTAGCTCGATCTTCCACTACGACACGTCCGAATACCCCAGATTCGTTCCGCGCGGATCTACCCGCCTTCATTCCCGTCTCTACGAACTTAAGTCTATGCGCGCAAAGGCGCGCACCATCCTTTCGCTTGTCCATGCAACACTCACCCCTATCCAATCGCAGGAAGCCTTACTTACCGACATTTTTGTCATAGTTGTCGATGGGGTCCGCTGCATTCCCGCCATCATCAATCGCGCTACGTTTTTCCTTCAATTCTGTCCCTCGTCTAACCCGCTCTACACCCTAGAAGAAGTTGCCGCGCTTCGCACAGCGTCGGGCCTCTGTTACAATAACATGTAACCGAGAACCCCTCCTATGGAGGTCATCATGACCTTAGCCCCTATCCCACCATATGCACCGTCCTGGAAGACTTACCGACTCAACGGAGACTCGTAGAGACGCCTAGAACGGCCTGGATGCCGTTAGATGACCTAGACCAGCCTAGGCTACATCTGATCGGACCTAGATGGTCCTCGACCCGGATCATGAGAAAGCTCTGCCTCATGGTCAGAAGACAAGCCGCATGCCGCAGCATGCGCAGTTAGACTCCAAGGCATGCTTCGCCTTAAAGGACAGATAAGAGAGGCATGGTAAGCCTCATGCATAGATAATCGACCGCATGGCATCAGATAAGATGCCCTTGTATAGACACACTCATACCTACCTACCGAACGTAGTATTGGTCTGTGCACACGGACGACAGTATATAGAGCAGACAGAATCATGTATATTCCCTACTTGATTCTACTAGGTTTTATCCAGAACTTCCTCTGAAAGACAGTCCCAGTCCTTCAGTCTAAGCCGCACCTTAAGGAAAGCCGACGCTACCTTAAGTGGAACCCCCGAACCTCTCATTCGAGAGAAGATCCCCGTCTCTCCAATAGCGAGCCCGCTATCAGATTAGGCAATCCGCCTAGGGAGAGCTCGAACTATCCTAGTCCGTATCAGCCTCTTCCGGTTCTACAGGAGTTTCCAACTCGCTGACGCCATCGACGACCTTCTTACACTTTCCCTCCCTGATGAAGACACCGTCCATCAGCTTCTCCAGAATTATTCCCTCGACGACCTCCGCAGTACCGGTGTTACGGCCAACGCCAGCCTCAACTACCTCCTGCATGTTGCGGAATCTCAACACGAGCGCTGCTTCAATGCGCAACGCGAAGGCCCATACTTTTTGGAATAGGGCGGGTCGGTCTTTTTTTCGTTTATCCTTATACCCGGCTCATTTCTTTTATTCACATTCTAGTTCTCATTTCATATACCTAGGAATAGCTTGTCTTTACATACATACATACATCGCGCTTACTTAGATTTGTTTGTCTATGAGTTTTTCAATAGTTTCAATTTGGTCTGCGCTACCTAGACTTCGTCTCTGAAAGTTTCTTTGGTAACAAATCTATTTTTGGCATCATAACTAGAAAAATACAAATACATCAATCGAGTTTGTACTTATGTGTCACGTGATCAGTTCCCTTTTTGGTTTTCATTTACTTTGGACGTGTGAAATCATTTTTTGATATGAAGGAAGTTCTCATTCGAAGACCCCTAGGTACCTGATATTAACACCCTTATGTATATAATGAATCTAAAATTGGTTCATTGAAAGAATCTTCGATCGAAGGCCTAGAACTATTAGGACGAAAAAATTCACTAAGTCCTTAAACATTCAAGTAACTCAACAAGTGCCATTATCAATATACAATCCCAACTAAATCAATAATCAACCATAGTCTCCAACAAATCAAGTCACTTTAGCCTAAGAAACTACTCTTTACTAGTTCAGCCTTGCGAATATTCCGCAAATACATACAATATATACCTAGGAAACACATTGCCAAGAGTATACCAAGAAGTGAAACAGAAATTACCCGTCCGCGAGCCTAGGACATATTGCGACACTTAACCTTGCCTGACAACTTAGTCTCACGCAGTCATAACCTTAGCAACAAGTCACACCTATATATACTAGAACCGGTCCGGTGAACCGATGTCGCCCAAAATGCAAAATTGGGAAACCATGCAAACAAGCTACGGACTCTACGTGCGAGCCAGTAATACCCTTGAAGAATATGAAGATGTTGGAGAAGAAAGTGCAGACCCATACAACTCTGCAACCATGGAAGAGTTTGCAAGTAATGAGGAAGACACGGTAACCATGTGGACCGATAACGTTGAGGCTCATTTTGAGCCTGGAGATTCAATATGGGCAATGACCCTTGATGGACAGGAGAATGAAGGGATGTTTTGGACCCCTGACAACCCTCTCAAATACCCATTGGCCAGTTCGGAAAATGCCACAACATTCACAATGTACAAGCGAGTGGACAAGAAAGTACGTCCAGTTCCAGGAGTATTTCCCCAGGAAGCCCAAGTAGTGAGACAATTCCCAAACAACCCTTTAGATACCCTCGTACCCCTATCTCCTAATCCCCCAGACATATTTCCTACCAAGAAGCTTACTGTAGAACGACTTGAAGCTCTGAATATCAATGCTAAAGGATTCTTACGTCCTGAAGAAGAGAGGCTGTTTCGCTATATTATGTGGCTGCACCAGGATGCACTAGCATTTGAAGATACAGATAGAGGTACTCTAAAGGAATCCTATTTTTCGCCCTATATTATTCCCACTGTTCCTCACATTCCATGGGAATACAAGAATATCCCAATTCCACCTGGAATATGAAGCAAGGTTATAGACGTACTGAAATTAAAAATCGATGCAGGAGTCTATGAAGCTAGTCAATCGGCATACAGATCAAGATGGTTTTGTGTGGTTAAAAAGAATGGAAAGCTCAGGATAGTTCATGATTTGCAGCCTTTAAACAAGGTCACAATTCGCGATGCTGGACTACCGCCAATTCTTGACGATTTTGTAGAACCCTTTGCAGGAGCTCAATGTTACACAGTATTTGACTTATTTTGGGGATTTGATGCTAGAAAGTTGCACCCACTAAGTAGAGATCTTACTGCATTCCTAACTCCATTAGGATTACTTCGCATTACATCGCTCCCTACAGGATTCACCAATTCTCCTGCAGAATTTCAGAAATGCATGACATTTGTTCTCAAGGATGAGATTCCAGACAAGGCCAACATATTCATAGATGATCTTCCTATCAAAGGCCCCACAACAATATTTCCTGATGAGCAAGGCCAGCCTGCGGTGTTGACAGAGAATTCAGGAATATGCAAATTCATTTGGCTTCATGCCCTAGATGTTCACCGAA